AAAAAAAAAATGGAATATCAAATTTTGACGTCGTTATACTCGAATTAAAATTTATCATTCAAAGTTCGTAATCGATACCTATAAGTAAGTATGCAACTAGTTGCTCCAAGCTTCGCGCAGCCCTAATTGAAAGGAAAGAAAGAGAATTGAGTCGGAACTCGGTAACGTTAATTAACGAGGGTCAGTATACTTTACTTACGAATACCAGAGGATTAAAACTAATTATCAATCAACTTCGATTAATGGCTGTGTTTCGAAGATGGTACAATTTGGTTAATTTGAGCGTTTATCGTTGCGCTATGTTAATTGTGCTTTAACGTCTTCACACGCTTCTCACTGTCATCACGTTTTTCTTTTTCGTTCAAATTCTGACACAGTAATAATACGAGTATGATATAGCGGTAGTGTATATTGAAGGAGAAGATGATAATAAGCTGGTAGAGAATGAGAAAGGAAATTGAAAGAAACGAACGTGCATAGAGAAAAGATGGTCGTTGCTGATATTGCGATTCGTAGAACCGGATGGTCGTAATTATCGAGAGGTAGAGGGAGAGAGAGAGAGAGAGAGAGAGAGAGAGGAAGAGAGTGAGAGAGAGAGAGAGAGAGAGCAATCGTGGGATTACGAGCGTCGGGTCTGCGAGGTAACGCGAATCAGCAGAAGATCGAATCGAAGGTGTTGTGGTAGCTAAGAAAAGAAGTACATCGAGCACAGGTAGAAGAATGATCTAGTCTGTGTTACGTGTTACTGTCCCCTCAGTCTGATTGTGAAATTGTAATTGACTAGAAACCAATGAATGAGGAATCGGCGGGTCACGTGGCTGTTAATGTGTTGCAGGGGGGGTGGGACGCAATCGGAAGCATGTTGGCGATACAACTGGTCAAGTGGTGATGCAGGGTCCAGGGCGTTTTTCGTGCAGACTCTGCGGAAGCGTTTACAAGCACCTTGCTTCGCTGACCCAGCACCTTGAAGTGCATCGCAACCAGACTACCTGCATCCTATGTCACACCACTCTCAGTCGTAGAACCGACCTGCGACGTCACATGCGTCTGAAACATAACATGCAATGGCAAAAAACGATCCAGAAGCAGCGCAGCTCGAAAAACGAATTGGACTCGTAAAGAATAATTTTGTTCGTACGCGCCGAGAAACATTGCTTCTCGCTCCGCCCTGGTTCCCCACACCCCCCCAGCCCTCAGCCCCCTACGTTCTTCTTCTTCTTCTTCTCATTCACTCTCTTCGTTCTCCATTCGCGCCCCAATGGCAATGTCTCTTTCCTTTATCTTCTTTTTTTCTTCCCCTTTTATTTTCTTTGTCCATTAGCTGTTCATCGTCGATGTCAAAGCCCTTTTCCGTTCGGTAAGTCCGCTTTTTCATAAACAGTCTACTCTATCCCAGTCGATCTTAGTGTATATACACACTGAAACACCGATCAACTCGCGCCTTTTTTTTCGCATCCAGTATTAAAAAATCGTATTGTTCTTTTTTTTTTCTTTTTTCGAATTTCTAGTATTAATCGATGTTAAACGTAAATCGCTAAAGCTCGAGGACAGTAACGTGGCATTTCGCTTATTTATCGTTTTCCCCATCCTCTTCTTTCGTTACTTCCCTAGCATAGTGTGTATACTGTAACTCGTTGTTCGGTTTCGAGGGAGCCGAAAAAATCGATGGTCGATTGGCTTATATTTTTCATCCCTTTCGCACCCACTACGTTACTCGTGACACGCGAGAGTGTAGAATTCGGCTTCGATGAAGAGTGTCGTAGCGCGAATGCTAATTTTTCTTTTTTTTTTTTTCATTTCGTTCGTCGTTTTAGGTATAAGCTGATAAGAAATTGAACGATCTAATTACGATATGTAATGCTATTAATGCGTCTCCACTTTATAAGGATTCTAGTCAATGCTGTACAGTACTTTAACAAGCCATCGTTCACACGGCTATTTTTTTTTTCCTTCTCTTGTCGTATCTTTTTTCTTCCATCTTTCACCGACTGTATAAATCGGCGGATTCCATGGATCTCTGTTACGCGTCCGATCATTATACCGTTGAAGTCCCTCGATGATAATGCAGTTGTTCGATACTTGCATATATATACACATGTACGTATATATATATATATGCACATTAGTCGACGATTAATAGAACGTGCAAAATACACACAGGATATCCATATCATATGTTGTACGTCGCCGCGCAAGTGCAAAAAAAAAAGCATTCGAGACATTTTTGGACACGGACAATGTGACATACTTTACCTTCGTACGCGTCACGGCTAAGTGTTAGCCGTTGTAGTCGCGTGCAACTCTTTATACGACCGGCATATGTATGTAACGATGCATACGAAAAAGATCGTCCTCGAGAACAATTTCAGTATTACACTGACTCTGTTTACACGTCTGTTGTTCGCGTGCTCGATATTTCTTTGCGATCAAGATGAATTTAGCATAGATTCGGGGAAGCGCATGGACAGTGCCTTACACATAACACACACAATTATCTAGTTTTACATTTTACATATTAACTTTCCAGATGTTTACCACAGTTGAACGCGTATAAGAGAGTATAAGAGAACTGAAAGATTTTATTCCTTACACCGGTGGCTTCGTGTAAACATTGTCTTTGTAGAAAATTCAACGAAATATCACGATCTTCACTCACCGATCAATCCTATATACGACGAGAGCTATAATTTTCGATCGATTGATATACGATTCGGAACCTATTCGTTTGTATCTCTTGATTTTTATTTCTTCTTCTATGATTTTCCGTTTCACGGAGTGAAGAAGCGTCGCGTGAAAACGATCATATAGGTATATATATAATATTTTATCGCGACAAGTATCGCAATTTAAGTATCGTGTACCGCTTTATTACAATTAGCTTATTGATTCTAGTAATCGATATTATTTGAGAATCTTCTTATCCTACGAATCTTGGAAATTCTATTTAATCCCGCTAAATAGATCGTGTCTACGGGATCACGTTTAAATAAGGGACAATTATGGAATGTTTTAGCGAACATGCATTCGAGAGCTCGTCGTTAATTAAAAAGTAACGAGCACGAGGATTTGAGAAACTCAGTCGCTTCGAATACGTGCATCTGAATAGGAATTATAAAGTATGCTTGCTTTTTTTAAAAGAAACCTTGATTAAAGGTACGCGACAAATTCGCAAAGATATAGGCATTCCGTTTCAGCTACCAATATCGAATTATACGTAAAAAGGAAAAAAAAAAAAGAAAAAAACTTCATTGTTTGAGAAAAGAAAACGTGTTTATGCACAATGAAGCACTTAATCGTAGAGTTACGTAGTTTTAAAACGTAGATGTTTGCCGTTGAAGATCGCACGAAGTTTCGAGGAAAAGTAAAGTTGTTTCCGAGGTGCTTCGTAAACAATCGATCGGAATGAACTAAATGTTAAGTGAAATATGTACTTGATTGCGATGCGTCTTTTTTCTTAGTTGTTAAGTGAAATGTTAGAGTGACGGCGTGGATTTTCACCACGATGTATCGCACGATAGTTTATTGGTCCGAGAACCAGGCAAATATCTCGTCGTCACGCCGATTAAAGGATATATTTATTAAGCTGTCGTATTTGAAAAGAAAAAAAAAAAAAAAAGGCAAAATATATGCATTTATCGGTGCAAATTGAGTTTTCAGTAAGCAATTTTATTTTTTTGACAGGCCGGTAGATTTTCGCAGAGAAACGAGATACACACGTAGGTATCGCGTTTCGATGAGATTTTTATTCGGCAAACGTATGGTCGAGTCCCCATACGGAAACCGAACGCGAAACAAAGCACCACCTTATACCTAGATGCGGAAACGCAAAGTGACTCTAGATAACGTGGTCAAGTACCGTCTCGATAGTCGCGCCGCCGCAAGCTTTTCTCATTTTCCTTTTTGAAAAAACGTGTTACGTCTATGCATTCATTGTGAGCTTGTAAGTGAGTTAAAAAAAAAACGTCGTAAAAGTATGCTTTAAAATGTTATTACAGCAATGTAAATAAATCGATTTACAATGGAAGTTCTTAGTATTGATATTTCTAAAGGAGAGAGATTCGGATACATCGAGGCGCAAACTTACGAATATACACTGCTCGAATCTCACACTCATCTTATCTCTCAGGTGGACACATTCTGATGACATTTAACTCGATTTGTGGTATTTATTTACAAGCAGTCGAAAATATAAATGCAAATACACAACAATTGCGTTCTTATTTCTGTCGCGTTGATTATGGCTGTGTTCTGCCTGTGGTGTGTGTGAACGTATTCTTAAGCTCGAACCTCTTTTTAGTTTTTCTTACCGTTATTTTTACGTAACGCAAAATACCTGGATGTCGTGGAGTTTCGTGAACAATAGGTAGTATACGGTAAACTTGTCTATAAAATTCATTGTTACGATATCGTATATATATCTATATACACATATCGTGAAGGGAAAAAAATGTTTAATTTCTTTTGTTTTAAAAAGCTTCCTGAGATTCTTGGAAATCACCATGTGTGTTGTTCTGCCCGATAAAAAGAAAAAGTTTGGAGAAACGATTGTTTCGCACCGCGTTCGATATGAAATAAACGTGAACGTAAAGTTTGATATTTTCTCAAGAATCCCAGGTTATATAACAATGTCCTTTGATAAAGTAATCTTGTTGCTTTGAAACACTAATTTTGTATAATAACAAGTAACTTGTGATTTTCGATTATCGACTTGTGGCTTGATTTTGTCGTTCGTTTAAAACGCAACATCTTTTTTAATATTTTTGACAATCGCAGACTACTTCTAAAACAATCCAAGACGGTCTCGAACGAAATACTTTACGTGATACGGTATAATTATTATAGCGTTAGTGATAAGAAGAAATAAATTTATAGAGGCACACGCAAGGATACCGGCATGGAGTTTGCATTCGCCAGGATCGTTCTGCGATAAATGCGGTGTTACATTTACAACGCAGCACGCTCTTCTACGGCACATTACATCGAAACACGAGGAGCCCCAGAGTTCTACCGCGTACTGCAATATTTGCCAACGATTTTTCAAAACAAAATGGAGTCTGGCAACTCATAACAGCAAATATCATAGAAACTGATGTGCGGGCTCGATACTTCCGGACGATATTAGTTTCAAAATTCGGATCGGGTCTCGCTTCGATAGAAACTACGATAACTTTGTCAAACCGAAACATTCACAGTATAGCTTATTATACATCGTCGCTATTACCCGAATGAATTTTCGTACAGCTCCTTTAAAATTATATAATTGAGAAACGATCGTTCTGTCGGTTAAACAAATACTAGGTTTCTATAACTAAATTATTTTATTAAATATTTATTTCAAGTCTAAATATATAACCGTTCAATCACATAAAGATACAAAGACGATTGTAAGTCCTTGCAAACACAGCGCGAATGTATGATTGGAAAGCGTCCTATTATTTTTCTGGTTGATATTGTATAATAATCCTTGATATTCACATTCCAGAACCAGGAATGTCATAATTATAAGCCCCCCCTTAATGCGAGTACCAAATGCAACACTGATCCGCCTTGAACTTTATAATCTTGCGCCGTTTTTTCATCATTCCTAAAAGACAACAAAAATTTTTGTACCTTCATCTTTCAAGTTTGCTTTTTCGTTTTCAAACTATGTTCGCAATCCTGAATTAATTATAAACGCACACAACTATGAGCTTAGTTGAAACAACTCTGTTTTTTATGTAAACCTAAGATACAAGTGATTAAAAACATAATAAATAGAAAAGAAAAAAAGACAAGAAGAAATAATCTTAAAACGTCGTAATTGATGGAACAGGGACAAGAAAGCAGAGACAACAGTGCAACTCAGATTCAGAAAGGACTGTAGAAGGTCACTTTCCAGAGTATGTTCCATCCACACCAAAGAAGATGAACGCAACAAGAAGATGTAAAGTTTGTGCAGCTAAGGGTATTCGAAAGGAATCTCGCTACTATTGCACTTATTGTAATGTAGGACTGTGCGTTACACCTTGCTTCAAAGAATTTCATACTAAAGGCAATATCACATGAAACGTTAAAACATAATTTTCTCCGTAGAAAATTATCTTGCATATAAATTATAATACCTACATTTGCTTTCCAG